AAAAAAACAAAAACAAAAAAAAAACAAAAAACAAAAGAACAAAAACAAACTTACGTTGTCCCCCACTCCTTGCTGGTTTGTGGTGTTCCCCCGACCCCCAAATTTTGCTTGTGGCATTCTCTCATACTTTGATTATGACATGCAAGCCCAAAATTCCGGTTTATGACAATCACACAACTTCTTGTTAACATCCGTTTTACAAATCATATTTATATCCGTATATAAATACAAAAGTCTACACAGATTCACATGCATGCACATACTTTATTATTTGATGACTTCTTACCGAACTTTTAGACATAAACCATCAATTGGGTACACATGCAACAAGAGCCCCGGAATTACCATTAATTCATCAAACTGGGGACCTCTTAGAAATTGGGGAATGGGGGTGGGTGGAGGTTTAGCGGTCCTCGAATGAAAAAAAATATTACAAATTGGGGACTTCTTTGAATGAGAAAATTTAATAAATTGGGGACCTCTTTGAATGAGAGGTTGAGGTGGGAATGGCTAGAGAAAAGGAGGACCTGTTTAGTCACTGTTGACTAATAACAAGTCACATATAATTAATTCAAGAAACAGTAACTAATTTCAGAGTTTAGTGAAATTCAAGAAAATAGAGATTATGATGATCCAATGTTAATTGGAAACTACTTTCTAGAAAACTACTAGATGCATATAAGATATTTGTCACATTCAAAAAAGATTTAAGATTCTAAATTAAAATTATCAGATTTTATGCTCAATAATTTTATGATCTGCACTACATTTTAATGACAAAGAAAAACTCTAATTTTTGCACTTATATTTCTAACTTTATTTTACCTTTTTATCCTTTATTTTTAAATTAGCGCATTATATCTCTAATTATGATTTTTGTCCAAATATTTCGCTAGTGTGCATGTAAATGAGAGTCAAAATATTCTTTTATTTATTTATTTATTTTTGGTTTAAAATAAGAGAGGAAAATAACTCCCTTTTTAGTCCTCCTAACGAATCTTTTGAATATAAATTATGATACAGATGCAATTAATATAATGTTGAAGATAAGACTTAAGTGCGGAATTGAGCCAAAGTTAAGGTTCATTACAATTAAAATGTGGTGCAATTATAAAAAAACGGTAGTTTGAATATAATTACCTCCAATTTTTTGGCCATTATGATGATTAGTGAGTTTAATTAACAAGTAAAATTTTTCATATTTAGGACTAATTTGAAAAATAAAAAATAAAATAATAACAAAATAATTAAAGGAAGTTTATTAAGATAGATTTAGATGTAATCCTATCTATCATTTTCATTTCAGTTTAGCTCTACATAATTATATAAAATGAAATACAGCACATGTGGGCTCAAATCCACTCGTGCAGATGTAGACAAGAAAATAATACCCTTGTGTTTTGGTGGAATAATCACATGCTATCCACGTGACTTGTGTTCCCTCTCAATCTTCTCATAAGAATCTACATGTATGGTTGAGAAGAGACAATGTTGTCAAATTCAACACATATCTTGTGCTTTAGGTGATGCAGTCATTACATTGTTATTTAGGAAAGAATATAACATAAAGATTAACAATTACAAAACAAAAACATATTTTAATCTATTCTATATTCAATTTTTTGTTGCATAAATAAATTACAAAGAACACAAAGACATGATTATTGATTTGTTTATCGTACTTGTCTAGGGTTATTCACCTTGTAACCACGTGACTGTATTTCGGACATGAAATTTGTTAAGCTATCCTAATCGAGATTTATTAATGTGTAATGCTATTTAGCACTTCTAATATTACAATATCAGTGTGGACGGTGCTAAGTGATATTAAGTGACACTTATAATTTAATAGCATTACTCATTGATTTTATTTTCTTCAACATTTGTTTTAGAAAAGCAAAAGATTTTGTCACATTAACTTAGAGGTTGAATCAGCATAGTCAATTTCATGTTCTGTACTAATTCATTTGAACATTGCTTCATATGATCACGAGTTTCATGAAGGGTCTTCAAATGAGCCAGTACAGAACGTGAAATCGATTGTGCTGATTCAACCTCTAAAGTCCCAAACATGGAATATGATCACGAGTTTTTAAAGTTGACTTTTCAATGAACTGGAAAATTTTTGATCCTTGGAAATATGGTAATTTTTAAGAAAAATTTTTAGACAATTTTTTTGGGTCAAGGGCTCGATGTGAACTTTCCTTATGAACTTCTAACTATCGTTATTTATACTTTTAATCAAAACATTTATGCTTGCGCATTTTCATAAATCGATTGCAACAAATTTGAATTTAAGAATTTTATCTACTTGAAACTAATATGTCTTTAAAATTGAATGTTGGACAAACATTGAATTTCCTCATAATTAGTGAGAAATTAGATGGTAAAGTGAGTAAAAGTGCATGAATGTTAAAAAACATGTCGTCCAAAGCATGTCCTGAGGTTGGATTACAACAATGACAAGAAATGGGCTAAAGAACCCTACCCTACTTTAATAACACTACTTTATCTTTTTGACTAAAAAATCTAGGGTTTGGCTCTTCCTAAAGCAACCGGACCCCGCTAGAATTGGAAGTCCTAATGTCTCACGCTCTCACTGAGCGTGTGTCATCAACTCTCCATCTGTTTCCCTTCTCAATGGCTCAAGTTAAATGATTCGTAGGAAGGCTGACGACCCGCAATTTCCCTCGGGAAATAGGGCAAGGAGCGTACTCATGCTCTATACAAGCTTGTGCCCCGAGAAGGTTAGTGGGTTATAGGTCCGATTTGATGCTAAGCTGATCATAATTATGAAAATTTGGACTAAAATCTACATAAAACTTATCCCAAAAGACAATTCTACTTTCTTCCCACGTTTGAAGATTAAAAAGATGAGTAGATTGCAGAGTTAGACGTAGACGAGAAGATACAATACTATTTAACTGAATCTTGGTATACATGAAATTTGACAGGATGATGCTAGTAAACGAGAGCCTTAAAAAAAGCTTCATTTTATCTAAAATTACGATATTTGAAGATGTGGGCACAAACACACGCATTACAACTCTAAAATCTTGAACCTCTCACTGAGCGTGTGTCATCAACTCTCCATCTGTTTCCCTTCTCAATGGCTCAAGTTAAATGATTCGTAGGAAGGCTGACGACCCGCAATTTCCCTCGGGAAATAGGGCAAGGAGCGTACTCATGCTCTATACAAGCTTGTGCCCCGAGAAGGTTAGTGGGTTATAGGTCCGATTTGATGCTAAGCTGATCATAGTTATGAAAATTTGGACTAAAATCTACATAAAACTTATCCCAAAAGACAATTCTACTTTCTTCCCACGTTTGAAGATTAAAAAGATGAGTAGATTGCAGAGTTAGACGTAGACGAGAAGATACAATACTATTTAACTGAATCTTGGTATACATGAAATTTGACAGGATGATGTTAGTAAACGAGAGCCTTAAAAAAAGCTTCATTTTATCTAAAATTACGATATTTGAAGATGTGGGCACAAACACACGCATTACAACTCTAAAATCTTGAAAAATATAGATATAATTAAAGGGTAATTAGCACAAAACGTCCTTACCTTTCAAGTTTATTATTGAAAATATTTCTACCTTTCATTTTTTGACATTTTTTTCCCTACCTTCTACATTTCTTTGCACAGAAGATTCTTTTGACGATTTTACCCTCCATTGAAATGAAACAAAAAAAAGAAAAAAAGAAAAAAAAAAGAATTAATTGTAATTATAGTCCCAAATTTTTGAAAAAATTATAAATCAGTCATAATTTATTGTGAACTAAAAAATTTTAAAATTAAATGGAGAAAAGAAACTTGAATGTACAAGGAAATAATCAAGAAATGGAGAATTTTTTTTTTTAATCATAACTAATGGAAATGAAAATTTTTTAAGAGTACTTGATTTTTGCCTCAAGCCTTCCATCTACTCTTTACTGAATAAAAATTGAGATTTATGCTTATCCATTTTTGAATATTTTCAGTTTCATTGGCTATGATTCAAAAATTTATCTATTTCTTGATTATTTTTCTGTACATTCAAGTTTTCCTTCTTCTTTTTTGGGTTATTTTAAAATTTTTCAGTTCACAATAAATTGTGACCTATTTGTCATTTTTTTTTGAAAATTTGGGAATATTATTGCAATTAGTCCTTTATTTTTTTTTCTTTTTGTTTAATTTGAATGGGGGGTAAAATTGTCAAAAACTAATGAAAATGACATTCTGCGCAAAGAAACGTAAAAGTTAAGGGTAAAAATGTCAAAAAATGAAAGGTTGGGACATTTTTTCTCAATAAATTTGAAAGGTAGAGACTTTTTGTGTCAATTACCCATAATTAAATATAGCTGAAGTATAATCTCGGAGATTTTATATTCTAGTGTGCATCCAAAAGAAGGTAGCTTCGCACGTTGGTCACGAGATAAAAGCTAAAAGAAAGCAACTTCATAAGATAAATAGATATAAAGTTTTGGCTAGTACCACGTCCAACACAATACATATGAAATTGTGTATCGTCTAGTCTAGTGTAACAAAATGGCATAAAGAGTTGGTAAGAGTATAGCTGAAGTATAATCTCGGAGATTTTATATTCTAGTGTGCATCCAAAAGAAGGTAGCTTCGCACGTTGGTCACGAGATAAAGGCTAAAAGAAAGCAACTTCATAAGATAAATAGATATAAAGTTTTGGCTAGTACCACGTCCAACACAATACATATGAAATTGTGCATCGTCTAGTCTAGTAACAAAATGGCATAAAGAGTTGGTAAGACAGAGGGGGACGCGCATTGAATGTGTGTTGAATTACCACTCAACATAGGAAATTCATTGTAATCAATAAACCCTATTGTCGGCTCCAAATAGGATTAACAATGGGGAACACCCTAGCATTTGTGTCGGCTAAAAGTCTAGCAATGGCAAAGACATACTTGCAAAAGTGTTGCCCACATCACCTCACTCTTGTCTATGCCTACCCCACCCCTCGATATAATATATACACAAATCCCTTGAAACCCATTTCTCTGTCTAGACTAGAAGTTCATTTTATATTGATTTGTGGGTGACTTGTATTGTTCTTGGAAGACATGAAGTTGCAACTGAAACTCGCACTTCCGAGCAATTTAGATGAAGGGTTCGACCTTAATTATCGCAACGAAGATCAAGAAGAAGAGGAAGATTGCAGATTAATGAAGAAAAAACGAAGTTTTGATGAAACTTTTGAGGAAATCAAGAATGTAGAAATCCCTCGAACGTTGTCGTTGTTGGATCATATTGATCTTTGTGATGAGGAAGATGGGGTTGTGGGCTGGCCACCAATTAACTCTTGGAGGAAGAAGATTTGCCACCACCACCACAACCGCCATGGCTGCAACGCCACCATGAACTATGTGACGGTCGAGAACGGTGGCCGTGGCGGAAGTGGCAGAGGAAGATCCAATTACATGTACGTTAAAGTTAAGATGGAAGGAGTTGGGATAGCAAGAAAGGTAGACTTAAGCCAACACCATTCTTATCAAACGTTAATTGACGCCGTGATGGCCATGTTTGATAATGTAAGTAGCACAAATTTCGTAATATATCACTGTTTTCATAACTCATATTCAAATTTAAGCAATTTTATATTTTTGTGACTAATTTAACATGTAATTAATAGAATTTTTTTTATTTTTTTATTTTTAATTTGGGAAGACAGTTTATTGAAGGATTAATTTATTATTATTATTTTTTTTTTTGTGTGTTTAATCAGGAAAAAGTGCAGGGCTACAAGCTTACATATCAAGATAAAGAAGGTGATTGGCTGCTTGCTGGAGATATGCCTTGGGGGTAAGTCTCCATTAAACTATTATCATATAATTAATTAATAAATTAACAATTTCCAAGTCATATATAATATTTTATTTTTTAAAATTGGTAATAATAAAAAAATTACATAAATTTGGAATTTGTTTTGCAGAACTTTTATCAAGTCGGTGCAGCGTCTAAAATTGCTAAGGAATGGCCACTGATTAATTAATTCCATGGCGGAGATAAGCTGTTTTTTGCTTTATTATTCAATTAGAACGATGGATATGTTTTTTTTTATGTTGTTGGAGTCTTATCCTTGTATTTCGAGTAGTTAACTCTCTATTTTTATGTAGATTTTTGATAGCAAGTAATTTGTACAACTAAGAATTTATTCCACTAGATTGCAACCACCTTGTTTGAGCCCCATTTTGAGATGATAATGAATTTTTGAATAGTGTATTGATAATAAATGTGTGGTTAAAAATAAAGAAAAGTTTTAAATTTACGTGTAATATTATTTTATTAAAAAATGTATAATTGAAATGATATTAAAATAATGTTAAAAAAATGTATATATATATATATTCCCCCACCCCACCCCACAAGAGAATGGAGCTCAAACAAGAGCTGTATATTTAACAAAATTTATAAAAACTCTTAATATTCAATTCTTTCTGAACCCCCTTTTCCCCTAAAATGCACATGACGATGGAAATTTTTGTACGAATATCTAATGTCAAAATTCTTGTAAAGAAAGTCGAATCTTTAAAATCTTTATTTATCGATCGTAACAGTAAAGCAAGGATGAAAAGTATAGGTGGACTAAAACAATAATAATAATAATAATTAATAATAATAATAAATTCTATAATTTTAAGGTACACATTTAAATTTAAGAAACTTGTGAATTTCTTTCAAAAATCAGATGATATTAATTAATGTCACAATAACATATAATTTATGATAACAATTACGTACTACTCACGAATTAAAGAATGTCAAAGTCACAAAGGCACAAATTATCAAATTAATTGATCGCAGCTTATTTATCGATCACAAATAATCAAAGTAATTGGCTACAATTTATTTATCAATCACAAAGACACAAATTTTATGTCACAACTATAAATTTAATAAAAAATCATACATTTTTTATGCTGCTTATTATTTGTTGGTCACAATTACTTAATAATTGATTACAATCACTCTTACCCCATCCCACTCTCACGACCATCGGCGCCACCAAAAATTTCGTTATCGCCTCATCACCACCACCTTCACCACACCACCACCATGCAGATATGTACCTTCAACACACCATCGTCACCACGCGGATATGTACCTTTTCACCATACTATCACCATGCAGATCTATACATCTACCCACACCACAACCACCACATACAACCACTCACATCATTGTTACAACACCACCACCCACAGAAATTTGTACACTGCAAACTCACCACCACACAGCCACAACACCAACACCACGACACTCTAGCTATAAGCACGACACAATCGAATTCATCACCAGCTCCGGTTGCATACCCATGGATGCTGTTATGTGTTGGATTGCCTCACTATTTCTTAAGTTTTGGGCTTATTAAAATGCATGTTACCCGGCCTAGTTGATTAAGCATTTCCTTAGTTGCACGACTTATGCCTCAACTTAAGGGCAGCTTTTTTGTCGTACACGTGGCTCACTTACAACCCTTTGATCTGTGTTGATTAGTCTGGATACTTATACTATTGAAACCCAATTTGAGATAGACTTTTCATTTTCTTCTTCTCTCGAATGTTCTTTCTCTGTGTGAGCTAGGGTTTCTCTAAAATTCGTAATATTTCATTTTCGTGATGTAATCTCTATATTGTTGAGTACTGAGGGTTGTTTAGCACAATCTATGTGAGAGATTTTGGTTACCAAATTTGTAAAAAGAGAGGCTAGAGAGAACTTAAAGAAATCACTCACATTCGTACAATTTCTTAGTGATTTTAGTGGATCTAGAGCTTAATTTCTTAGTCGATACTCAATGGGTAAGTAGGTCTTTGTGACTGAATATCCGGACCCTTTACGGGTGAAAAATGTTCTGTGTTCTTGTTCTTTAATATTCTGTACTTTGTGTTTTTAAACGATTCAAACAAAATATTTTTACACAATGGGACCAACAAGTAATATCAGAGCAGTTTAGATATTTTCAAATTGTTTTTTAAAGGGAAAAAAAGTGTCTTTGTTGAGAAATTTTATTTTTGGAACTTTCTCGTTTTTGTTCCTCAAGATTTGTTTACTGGGGTTTGTTCCTCAAGACCTGTTTTAATTTTTTTTATTATTCAAATTTCAAACTCGCTCAGATTTGTTGTTTACACTGAGTCTTGGTAACTCTACTATTAACTCATACTAAGTCTTGGCGAGTTGACTTAACTCATTTCGATTCTTGTTGAGTTCTTGACTCACTGCTGAGTGCTACTGAGTCTCTGTGACTTGTTGTCTTCTTGGACTTGTATTGGCATTCTTGGTTCAATTTTGGTAATCTGATGAGCAAATAGTTGAATACAAGTGATAGCAATGAGGCCTAGGGCCTTTACACTGCTCAACGTGCAAACATTCAAACCACTTAGCCTCCTTCCCTAAATTGTTTTTTCTTACGTCTCTTGTTCCAATGATTGACCCCTATGCCCATTGAGAGGAGAGGTAGTTAGTTATCTGCTGGTGGGGCAGGGAAAATGGCTTCTAATAAGGAACTCTTGCATACATATCCAATATTGGTTTGCTTCCTCCACGGATCCCTAGTTTGTATACAACCAGTGGTGTCCTCCCTCACTACACTCTCTACTCTGAAACTTTGAGGTTTCATATTCTGGTAACTTCTGATCTTTCTCATTAAAGCTGCTGATTGTTTCTATTAATTCTGAAAGTGGTCATTAAGGTTAGTAATTTGCCATTACCCTTTTTTTTTTGTCTAAGATCCCTTAAGGATTTGAGAATCTGAGAAGCAATGGAATCCATGGTTATAACTCCTTAGACCTATTTAAAATTAACACGTACGCTTATTAATTCTAATTCTCTGTGATTTTTTGTAAAATTGCTTGATATATAGTTATAATAAAGGACAATGCTTGATGTATATCCATTTTTTTACCGAATTTTTTTACCTACGTTCACAATAGGGAGGGCAGGTCCCACACCTCTGAATTTTTAAATGCATGCGGGTCTGCGTGCATGTGAAAGTAGGTAACCAATTCGGTACATATATATTTATCCTATAATAAATTGCATCTATCTTGTCCTGTTTATGTTCACTGCAATTTTGCTAATCTGCTTAAATTGGAGATACACCGTGTGCTGTATATCTGTTACTTTGTGATTATATTTGTCAATATGTTTACTGTACAAAAATTTGAAGTCCCAACTTGGAATGGTACTGGAGACTTTAGTTTCTAGCATCATAAAATGAGGGCATTATTATTACAACAAAGATGTCTTGGGGTACAGAAATTCGCGCCTATGGAAGGCAAGAACTTGATGAAATAGCCTTGAGTTCTATATTTCTTCACCTTTCTGACAATGTAATTAGAAAAGTTAGGAAAACTACTCATACTCAGACTCTTTGGACTAAACTTGAGTCATTGTACCTAACTAAGGCTATGCCTAATAAATATTATCTGCTTAGGCATTTTTATAATTTCAGATTTGATACATCTCTGACTCTAGATGAAAATATTAATAGATATACAAAATTGATTCAAGATTTAGCAAATTGTGATGAGAAAATTTTTTATGATCAGCAGGCTGTTGGCCTATTAAATTCTCTTAGTGAAAGATATAGAGATATTAAAAATGCCTCATAATATGGGCGAGAAAACCTTACTATTGATATTATCACAACTGCCCTAGGGAATAAGGAACTTGAATTAAAATCAGAGTTCAAAGATACTAAAATTGGTGAGGGACTTTACATAAAGGAGAAACAAAATCAAAGTAAGAAGAAGAATGTATGTAATTTTACTTCCTCTAATAAGTCCAGGTTTCAAAAACCAAAACATAAGGATAGAAATAAATGTCAAATCAAAACCAAGAATCAAGTTAGGAAGTGTTATTATTGTGGAAAGACTGGACATCTTAGTTTCAAGAAAATTTCTAATTCAAAAGAAATAAACAGTCTTGATGGTTCTGTAGCCATTGCCTGCAAGATTGAACTTGACATTCAGGGTGTTGTTCTTACCAACACACCTAAAAGAGACCCAATTGAGTGGGTCCAAGATTCTAGATGCAGTTTCCACGTGTCCTATTAAGGAATGGTTTACTCAATTTGTTGATTTTAGTGGAGGTCAAATTCACATAAGGAATGTTATGAGTTGTCAAATTAAAGAAATTGGAAAATTGAAATTGATGTTAGATAGTAACTACTTACTTGATTTAAGCAACACCAGATATGGGCCTGAACTGAAGAGAAATATGATATCCTAGGGAAGTTAGATGATAAATACAATATTGTGATTCATAAAGGGCTTATAAAATTAAATGATGACAATAGGGAAGTCATCCGCTCTCATAAGGCACATGGAATTTACAATGTTTGTGCTGGACCTTTAGTAGGCTCCATCTCTACAATTGTAAATTCAAAATCTATTAGTCTTTAATCTGGTATAAAAGGCTTGGCCACATTTCTGAAAAAGGTCTCATTCAACTTGGGTGTTTTGGGAAGGATCATATTGAAAAGTTAGATTTTTGTGAAGATTGCATAATTTGAAAATAGCAAAAACAACCTTTTAAACCTGGAATTCACAAATCCACCTATATCTTAGAGTATTTACATGTTGATCTTTGGGGTCTAACCTCTGTAACTACACTAAGCGGTTTTAGATTCTATCTACTTTATAGATGATTTTTCAAGGAAAACATGGACTTTTCTGCTAAAACAAAAATCTAATAGTTTTCAAAATTTTAAACAATGGAAGCTAATGATTGGAAATCAAACAAGTAAGAGAATTAAAGCACTAAGGACAGACAATGTACTTGAATTTTGTAATATTAATTTTGACTTCTTTTGTAAGGAAAATGGCATACTAAGGCACAGAACTGTGACATACACCTTGCAACAGAATGGTGTTTCTGGAAGAATGAATATAATCTTATTGGAAAAGGTCAGGTGCATGTTATACAGTTCTAGTGTACCTAAATTTTTCTGGGGAGAAGTCCCCAAAACTGCAACTTGTCTTATAAACAGAAATCCATCCAGTGGTATTAATTTCCAAGTACTAGAAAAATTGTGGTCAGGAACTATACCAAATTATAGTAAATTGAAAGTCTTTAGCTGTGCTGCCTACTCTCATCAAAATGAGGGAAAACTGGAACCAAGATCATTAAAATGTTTCTTTCTTGGCTATGGAGAGGAAATCAAAGGGTATAGACTCTAGGTTAAGGAAGAAAATGGCTTTAGAGTCATTATAAG